TTGGTTGTGGCCAGCTCAGTGGATTGCTGTAGGAAAGTCCTGGATTCTTTCTTGGATACACAGAATATAACATTTATAGGGAAAGTTGATCCCGGGGATATCCGATTGCCTCTCGGGGGATCAGGAAGGAATTTGTTTTCCCTGCAGGAGCAAATTGGATCGTGCTTTGCTGGGTTGTTTGCCTTCCTCTGGATCAACTGTGGGTAGAGGATTATAACTTTTTTTTTTTTTTTTTTTATGGTTGAACTGGTTGGATTTTTTATCTTTTTTCAGCCAGACTAACTATGTAACTAGTACAGGTAAAACTAGACACCTAAGAAAACGTGCAAAACATCAACGGTGAGCTTTATAAAGAGGCCCCATATTTATTTCCACCATCACAAGTACAGGGGTGCAAGTCTTCATGGTTACTCTCAAGAAGTACAAGTCTGCGTTCACACGGGCGTACTGAAGCACACATCTGAATGAGGGTTGTGTTTGCTCGCAAACGGGATGCACGGGAGTTCTGTGCATCTGCGTGCAAGCAGTCAATTGGGACACAGCCGCTGCTCCCGATTTGACAACCGATTGGGTGCGAGTGCGTGTTTCCCAAATGCAGACAGTGTGAGCTCGGGGCTTCCCAGCTCACTTACCAGCCAGCCTGCAAAACTACCAAATTGGCTCTAAGTGTTTTCATTAACAGCAGAGTTTTGTTTTCACACATTTGCAAATATTTGCGTAAGCCAAGGGACCTCTGTATATGCCGTGGCCCCCCAACTCTAAATTTCCAGAGCCTCCATAGAAGGAGCTCATACAAGAATGAATAGATTAAGGGCAGGTATGGCTGGAGGGAGCCCATCTCTCCCTAATGGCAAAGGGAAGTACGGCAGTGAAGGCATCCAGGGAGTCCATGCACCCAATTCGTCCAACCCTACAAAAAAAAAAATGGCAACCACCCCAACCCAACTTTTTTTTTTTTTTTTTTTCTTTTGGCCAAAAATCGACCCATCTATGGCCCCAATAAGGGCAGGTATGCTTGGAGGGAGCCCATCTCTCCCTAATGGCAAAGGGAAGTACGGCAGTGAAGGCATCCAGGGAGTCCATGCACCCAATTCGTCCAACCCTACAAAAAAAAAATGGCAACCACCCCAACCCAACTTTTTTTTTTTTTTTTCTTTTGGCCAAAAATCGACCCATCTATGGCCCCCATAAGGGCAGGTATGCTTGGAGGGAGCCCATCTCTCCCTAATGGCAAAGGGAAGTACGGCAGTGAAGGCATCCAGGGAGTCCATGCACCCAATTCGTCCAACCCTACAAAAAAAAAAAATGGCAACCACCCCAACCCAACTTTTTTTTTTTTTTTTTTCTTTTGGCCAAAAATCGACCCATCTATGGCCCCCATAAGGGCAGGTATGCCTGGAGGGGGCCCATCTATCCTTAAAGGCACAGGGACGTACGGCAGCGAAGGCATCAAGGGCACCCATGTACCTAATTTGTCCAACTCTACGGGAAAAAAAAATGGCAACCACCCCAACCTATAACTAGCCTTTGCAGCAAGGTGCACATGGAACGGCAAAGCACATCTCAAACAAAGGATTTCCCAGCATACTTACCAGCCAGCCTGCAAAACAACTGAACTGTCCCCGTCTAACCGTTTATGTTAAAAGCAGAGGTTCTGTTTGCACACATTTGTAAACGGTTAGACGGGGACAGTTCAGTTGTTTTGCAGGCTGGCTGGTAAGTGTGCTGGGAAATCCTTTTGTTTGAGATGTGCTTTGCCGTTCCATGTGCACCTTGCAGCAAAGGCTAGTTATAGGTTGGGGTGGTTGCCATTTTTTTTTTGTAGGGTTGGACGAATTGGGTGCATGGACTCCCTGGATGCCTTCACTGCTGTACTTCCCTTTGCCTTTAAGGATAGATGGGCTCCCTCCAGGCATACCTGCCCTTATGGGGGCCATAGATGGGTCGATTTTTGGCCAAAAAAAAAAAAAAAAAAAAAAAAAAAAAAAAAAAAAAAAAAATCGGCCGATTTTTGCACCGTTAGTGGGTTAATTGGTCGACCGTTTTTCGGGCTTTTTGCAAAAATTTTTTTTTATCGGACATGTTGGAAAATTCGTGGCAGATTTTGACGATCGGCCGATTTTCCCGGCAATGATGGGCAAATCAGCCGATCGTTTTATCGATAAAAAAAAATCTGCGCATGAGCCGTGACCTGCAAGAAGAAGAAAAAGAATTCCAATCCGCTATTATATTTTATATGAAGTCTTGCGGTTGCAACAATGTATCCATTTGTATCTGAATAAAACATCTGTATCCGAAATGGATACAAATAGATACATTGTTGCAACCGCAAGACTTCATATAAAATATAATAGCGGACTGGAATTCTTTCTTCTTTTTCTTCTTCTTTTTCTTATGTATTGTTCCCGTGTGCTCCCCTGTCTCTGCAAGGGATAGAAGTAATTATGGGATTAAATACCAGCTATAGACAGGACAAAAATCGGCCGATTTTTTTTTTACCTTTGGTAACATTGGCCGATCGAACAACCGATTTTTGTTTTTTTTTTTAAAAACGGACATTTTTTTGACCCATCTATGGCCTACATTAGTCTATAAATTCTTACATAAGCTCCTACTATGGAGGCTCTGGAAAGTTAGAGTTGGGGGCTGCAGCATATACAGAGGTCCCTTGGCGTGGGCACTGCGGCTTACACGTACTGTAAACAAAACCGCTGCTTTTAATGTAAATATACAGCATGTGTAAGCCGCAGTGCCCCACGCCAAGGGACCTCCTGTATCAGCCCCCATAGTAGGAGCACATATAAGAATGGATAGATTAATGGCAGTATATACAGAGGTCCCTTGGCGTTGGCACCGCAGCTTCCTCGTATATATTTGCAAATTTGTGCAAACAAATCCCTCTTCTTTTCATGTAAACCGTTATGGCCAATTCGGTTGTTTTGCAGGCTGGCGAGTGTGCTGGGAAATCTTTTGCTTGTGATGCGCATTGCCCTTCCATGTGCACCTTTTTGCAAAAGGCAGTTATAGTTTCAGGGGGTTGTCTTTTTTTTTTTTGTAGAGTTGGACGAATTGGGTACAGGGACGCACTGGATGCCTTCGCTGCCATTGTGCTCTCGTGCGTTCCTAAAGGAGGGGTGGGCTCCCTCCAGGCATACCTGCCCTTACTCTATCCATTCCTATAGGAGCTCCTACTATGGAGGCTCTGGACAATTTAGAGGACCACAGCATATACAAGAGGTTCCTTGGCGTGGTCACTGTGGCTTACGCATATATTTGCAATTGTGTGCAAACAAAACTCTCTGCTTTTAACATAAGCGGTTAGTCAGGTCCAATTCAGTTACTCTGCAGGCTGGCTGGTAAGGGAGCTGGGAAATTTTTGGTTTGTTTGTGATGTATGTGACGGGAGTGACTTTTGGGGGTGGAGGGACCCCTGTGTCAGCTCATGTTCCTTTCATTATGTTTAACCCACCCTGTGCCTGTTAAGGGGTACAGGGTGTGAATGTGAATAACACAGTATTGTGTATTGGTGTGGGCATTGTCCATTGTTCTCTGTCAAGTGGTTGTCCATTGTTCTCTGCCATGTGCTGCATCCCATTGTTTTGTGTCTTGGTTTGGTTGGGGGCGTTTCCTGTAGCCCTTCCCACTGATGGGCCGGGCTGATGATGTGTTTCCTGTTCCTGGGTGTGTTTCCCCGCCTTGTGTATATATATATCTTGTGTTTGTGTAAAAATAAAGGAGTTGACTTCCCGTCTTAAGAAGAGTCTGGTGCTGTCTATTTCCTGCATGATCAGCGGTGGTATCCGGGGATTTGTGCTCGGACAGGGAAGCGGTAGTATAACGGAAATACCGCACGGAAGTGCGGTCTGGGTCCGGTTCCGTTACAATGTGTATTGCCCTTCCATACGCACTTTGGTGCAAAGGCCAGTTATAGGTTGGAGTAACTGCCATTTTTCGGGGGCCTGCACCCATACAGATCTCAAACTTGGGAGCAGCGGCTGTGTCCCAGTTGACATGACTGGGACCGCCTGCATGGGGATACACAAAACGCCTGGCCCTTACACAGATGTACGCTATATGGCGCCCGTGTGAATAAGGCCTACTTTATAAAACGTTTCCATATATTGTATTTGTTTCCAGATAGAAAACGACATGGAATCAAAAACAAATCTTGGCACAGCGCCGTTACAGTACCAAAGTGGACCCCTTGAGCAAGCAACCAGCTTGCAGCCGTTAGATCTCCCTCAGTCTGCAATGGGCAACGTGCAAATATTTAAGAGATCGCGAAAGAAGAAAATTCTAACACCCTCCATGGATTGTAAGGGACTATAGATGGAAATGTGTTTCACTCATTAGTAACAGAAGGGGAAAAGCGCCACTAATTTATTAGAAATCCAAACTGGTCACATTTTAACCACTTCCAGACCGGACACTTTTACCCCCTTCCTGACCAGGGCAATTTTCAGCTTTTAGCGCTATCACACTTTGAATGACAATTGCGCGGTCATGCAACACTGTACCCAAATGAATTTTTTACCATTTTTTTTAGATAGATAAAGCTTTATTTTGGTGGTATTTATTCACCACTGGGATTTGTATTTTTTTTGCTATGTAAATGAAATGTCCAAAAATTTTTTAAAAAAGTGTTTTTTTATAAAATTTTGCAAATAAATAATATTTCATCATAAATCTTAGCCAAAATTTATTCCGTTATTTTTTTAGTAAAAAAAAAAATCCAAATTAGTTTATAAGCAAAAATTATAATTTTTAAACATTTTTTTTTTACATTTTTATTTTATTTTTTTTATATTATTTATTTTTTTTACATACTGTCACCCTAGCAGTACAGTGTCACCATGGTGACACTGTACTACTTGTGGGGGGTGATAAAGATTTTTTTTTTTTTTTTTTTACACTGATTGCTTTTACACCCATATAGGATGTAAAAGCAATCATTTATCTTTCTCTCTGTCTGCATTCCTGCACTCATTGAGAAGTACTGAGTGAGCTGTGATTGGTCAAAGCTTGTCACATGGTACAAGGCTTTTGTGAATAGCCCTGTACCATGTGATCTCTGTGATCATTCACAGATTTCACACATAGTAAGCAATGATGTCAGAAGTGACATCTTGCTTACTACTTTGCATGTGATCACGGATTCGCCAATCAGTGATCACATGATCGGGACCTCGTACAGAGGTCCCGTCCGACGATCGGTGTTTCACTGTGTCCGGAGGACACAGCGGGCACCGGATCGCGGTGCTGCACGCTCCCAGGGAGAGCGCACAAGCAGGGTGCGGGGAGGCCGTTTATAGACGGCCACCCGACCCTGCAGTGCCACCGTCCGGCCGTTTATATACAACGGCCGGTCGGGAAGTGGTTAAAAAAAAAAAAAATACAGGCTCGTCTATGTGCAGGACGTCCGTTGGGTAGCGCATCTAGGAATACGCGGTGTCCGCTCCGGAGAACCACCAGGAAGGGGGAGACTACTGGCCAATTTCATCCAAGATAGGGGCGAGGGCGGAAGTTGGGTGAAGCGGAGCGTAGAACGCAGCGCCAGCAGAATGACGTCACCAAGTTGAGGAGATGCGCAACAGTTTTTCTTGAAGCATGTGCAATGCCGGGTGTGAGCATGCGCGCTCCTTTCTCAAGCTCAATTTGGATTTCTAATAAGTTTGTTTACAACTACACTTTGAACCCCCCCCCCCCCCCCTTCGCTCTTCTCCCTCTTCTTTCTGCAGGGCCTTTTGTGACAGATCTGAGTAATGTTCTGTGCCAGTGCTGACCAATCAGAATGGCTCTGATCCGTCCCAGAAATCGCTGCAGAGGGAAGAGCAGGGATTTCAAATCCCTGAACCACTACACTGTCTGCGTGGGTACTGACAGTTCATCACCCACCAAGGCAAGTACAGCGGGACTAGGGGAGGGGGGGGGGGGGTTGTAGGGTGTTAGTTTAAACAGGGCCAGGACAAGGAGGGGCGGCTGCCTTGGGCACTGTGGTATGATGTGAGGTGAGGGGGTACCACAAGGAGATTGGGGGGAGGAGAGCAGTGTTGGGAGGGGGAATTCGGTGGGCAGCGTGGGGTAAGATTTGTTCTAGGAGGGGAAATTATTTTTTAGGGAGGGGGTTCTAGTAGTTGTAATTTGGGGGATTTGTGTGGGGATGAGGGGGGTATTTTTTGCTAGGAGGGGAACTTTTTTTTTTTACGGAGGGGGGGGGGAGATTTGTGCTGGTAGGTATATTCGGACGGGATTTGTGCTAGGATGGGGGATTTGTGCTGGATGGGGGTGAGGGGATTTATGCTAGGAGGGGTGATTTTTTTTCCTTTTTTTGGGGGGGGGGATTTTTCCTGGAGGAATTTGGGGAAAGAGAGAGGATGTGAACTGGGGATGGGGCAAAGATTTGAGTTTGGAGGGGGGGATTTGTGCTGGGGAGGGGAACTTTTTTGTGGGGAGATATGTGCTGGTAGGGATAACCGAACAGTATTTGTGCTAGGATGGGGGATTGGGGAGACCTTTTTTTTGGGGGGGGGGGGGGGGGGGGGTTGATTTTTCTTGGAGGAATTTGGGAAAAGAGGAAATGAACTGGGGGGGGGGGGCAAAGATTTGTGCTGCGAGGGGGGATTTCAGCAGGAGGGGCAGATTTGTACCTGGAGGGTGGTGACTTTTAGAGGTAAGCATGCAGATCAAAAGATCTTTTTTGGGGAAGAGGAGGTTGTATTTGCTGCCCCATAGTAATCATACTTTTTTTTTTTTTTTTGGGGGGGGGGGGGCAGGGATTTTTCCTGGAGGAATTTGGGGAAGGAGAGAGGAAGTGAACTAGAGGGGGGCAAAGATTTGTGTTGGGAGGGGGGATTTCAGCAGGAGGGGAAGATTTGTACTTGGAGGGGGGTGAATTTTAGAAGTAAGCATGCAGATCAAAAGATCTTTTTTTGGGAAGGGGACGGGGGGGTGTTGGCTGACACTTAATAAGCATACTTTTTTTTTTTTGGGGGGGGGGATTTTTTCTGGAGGAATTTGGGGAAAGAGAGAGGAAGTGAACTGGAGGGGGGCAAAGATTTGTGTTGGGAGGGGGGATTTGTGCTGGTAGGGATATTCGAACAGTATTTGTGCTAGGATGGGGAATTTTTGCTAAGAGGGGTGTTTTTTTTTGGGGGGGGGCGGGGATTTTTCCTGGAGGAATTTGGGGAAAGAGAGAGGAAGTGAACTGGAGGGGGGAAAGATTTGTGCTGGGAGGGGAATTTCAGCAGGGGGGCAGATTTGTACTTGGAGGGGGGTGAATTCTAGAGGTAGGCATGCAGATTAAAGATCTTCTTTGGGAAGTGGGGGGGGGGGGGGGTGTGTTGGAGGACACATAATAATCATACTTCTTTTGGGGGGGAGGGGGGCAGTTTGGTATGTTTGCCCTGGGCTTTAGACGCCCTTGTCCCAGCATGGAGGTCACCGTTTTCATTTTTTTCTGAAAAGATGAGCTAGCTCTCACTTCAGCCTTCAATGACCTAGAAAGTACTATATCTTGCGGATTGACATCACCAACTGCACAAGTAGCATTCTTAGGAGGTCAGAAATGGCAGCCCATGCAGTTCCCGGTTTTAAAATTTTTAGGTTTTTTTCAGCCCTTCAAACCCCTTTAACTCAGTAGAACATAAATACAAAAATTAGCTACAAAACGCAATATAGGTGTATAAAAATAAATTGCATAGTGATAAAGAATACATTACTGAATGAATGGCCCCCCGAGTTATAGTCCAGGCGCAGTCGCCTCATCACCAGCTTCAAGCCCCCCAAGCAATACTGGATGAAGGCCACAAAGCGCATCTTCTTACTGGTGCTTCTTGGAAGGCACGCGGGATCGGGCGAGAAATACGATGCCAACTGCGACCGCGCTCAGGAGTAACGCCAACAAAGGGCGGTAGAAGAACCAACCGGCAGCGATTGTCAGCAGAGAGAGTGAAGAGGACAAACACAGAGCGAACAATTTGAGGCCAAGATTGACGAGATCACGGACGATGGGGAACCAATCCACTGCAGAGAAAGAAAGAAAATGGACAATACCTTTAATTAGCAGCTTATGCCAAGGCACTACATACACGATGGTGCAGCAGTCACGTTTCCTGGACAGGAATGGGTGCTGAACCGCAAAAAGGGACGACTTCCCAACCCAAAGCAAACAGATTCCAGCTGCTGTTCTTCAGAGACGGAAGGAAATTAATAGAAAAAAAAAATAGATTTGAATAGAATAAAAATTTCAAAATTCAAAAAGAATAGTATAAAACAGAATAGAAGAGAGTAAAACAGACTAGAACAGAAAATAAAAGAACCGCATAAAAGAGAAAAGAAAAGGAATAGAATAGAAAAGAAAAGAAAAGAAGAATATAATAAAATAGAGTAGAATAGAAAAGAATACAGTAAAACAAAACAGAATAGAAAAAAATAATAGATTTGAATAGAGTAGAATAAAATCAAAATTCAAAAAGAATAGTATAAAACAAAACAGAATAGAAGAGCGCAAAACAGACTAGAACAGAAAACAAAAGAACAGCATAAAAATAGAAAAGAAAAGGAATAGAATAGAAAAGGAATACATAGAGTAGAATAGAAAATAATACAGTAAAACAAAACAGAATAGAAAAAAAACTAAAATAGATCTGAATGAAATCGAAATTCAAAAAGAATAGTATAAAACAAAAACAGAATAAAAGAGAGAGTAAAACTGAATAGAAAATAAAAGAACAGCATAAAAAAGAAAAGAAAACAAAATAAATAGAGTAGAACAGAAAAGAATACAGTAAAACAAAATAGAAAAAAAAAATAGATTTGAATAAAATGAAAATTCCGAACTTCAAAAATAATAGTATAAAACAAAAACAGAATAAAAGAGTAAAACAGACTAGAACAGAAAATAAAAAAAACAGCATAAAATAGAAAAAGAAAATGAATAGAATAGAAAAGAATAGAATAAATAGAGTAGAACAGAAAAGAATACAGTAAAACAAAAACAGAATAAAAAAAATTAAAATAGATTTGAATAAAATCGAAATTCCGAACTTCAAAAATAATAGTATAAGACAAAAACAGAATAGAACAGAAAATAAAAGAACAGCACAAAATAGGAAAAAAAAAGGAATAGAAAAGAATAGAATAGAGTAGAATAGAAAAGAATACAGTAAGACAAAACAGAATAGAATAAAAAAATAGAACATGTTTAAACAGAATAGAACAAAATTGAATATAGCTGTCTGAAATTTGAATAGAATAGAACAAAACAATAGAAAAGAATAAAATAAAATAGAAAAGGGAATAGAATGGAATAGAATGGAATATAGCCGTCTTCTGAAATTGGTTGAACTGGATGGACTTTTTTGATAAGACTGATGCCCATAAACATCATGAACCAGCCGGCACCTCGCAGCATCCAGGTCTTCATTGTGTTAACTCTGATGCTCGGCCTGGAACGATCTCCTGTTGTAAAGTGCCACACACACAGCATTTCTCAATGGTGTTCCCAGGCAAGTTAAGGCCAGGAAAAAACCATTTCTGGAGTAGAGTTTCAGTAAAATCCTGTCCTAATTACAAACTCATGTGCTTAGCCGGCGGTGTCCCTTCTCCCACAAAAAGGGGGGTCATTCAGGACAAGTGGGACTAACCTCAGCATTGAGATTCCCCATATAGAGCAGCTCCGCTGATCTCCTGATTTGTTTTTGTACGAGGGACCAGTTCCACCCCTCTGAGATGTTGGCCGCGGCCACACACACTCGCCTAACATGGAAAAAAGAGTGTGAGGAGAAGGTAAACAGAACAGCAACTCAATGGAGGTGGTGTATCTGAACCCAACATTAATGCAGGCCATAGACGGGTTCGAAAATTGGACGTGATTTTTCATCCGATAAAAAAAAAATAACAGCCGATTTTCGCTCCGTTTAGTGGGTTAACTGGTTAGGCCGTTTGTTCCGGGGGTTTTTGCACATTTTTTTTTTGTTATCGGGCATGTTGGAACAAGTTTGCGGCCGACCGTTTTCCGATTTTGACGAATGGGCCGATGTTCCCGGCATATGATGGGCACAAAATTGGAAGAGAGGGAAAAAAGAGGAAGGAAAAAAGGAGGAAGGTAAGAAAGGTAGAGTGTGAAGGAGGAAGAAGGAAGAACGGACAAAAGGGACTGAGGAAGG